TTTTCAAATTCTTAAAATTTTACAAATTTTATTACAAACTTTTAAATTACAGTTGTTCAAACAATGGAAGCTCAAACTATCAATAATCTTCTCAACCAATTACCAATTGAAGGAGTACAAGCTCTTAAACAATTTTTACAAATTTGGAAAAACAATAATATTTCATATAATACTATTAAAATATTTGACCAAAATATCTCTATTATTGATGAAAATAGAATCAAAACTACAAGTTCAATTGATAGTATTATTTAGCAAATGACTTAAAGCCCTCCTGATTATTCTATATTATTTGATGAATTTATCAATAGCACTAAATAGGACATAAGTCCTCAACCAATTAAACCTATTGCTGAGGAACTGAATGTTCAAAAAGATCCAAATGAAGATTTAACTACTGATCAACAAAATATTAGTTAACAGAAAAATAAATATCTTATTGAACAAATTAAAAATGATTTAGAACATGAAATAGAGGATCAAGTTCAATTGAATTCTCCTTATCAAGGTTCTAATTATATTCAAATTTTGAATCAAATTATGATCAAAATTCATACTTTTAGAAAGAAAAAGTCTAAACAAATTCAAAGATTAGAAGCTCTTTATTATTTGGGACAACTAAAAGAAAATAATAGTAAAGATATATACGTATTCAGTTAACTCACTCTTTTGGAGAATCTAAATCTGATTGACTTTGGAAGCAAGCTATTTGAATTTATAGAATTTATCAAAAAGTTGGATTACAACAGTTGTATAAATCAAGTTTCATCAATGCATCAATGATTAGTGAATTAGATATAGAAGATTTTGAACAATTAGTTTAAAATATTTTGTTATATTTATTTCTTATAATAGTTATTATTATTTATTATTTATTAAATTATGTATTATTCTATTTGTAACTTTTTGTATGGGCCTAGTATAATATGGTGTCTAGAACAGATTAGAGTGATGGTTGGAGCTCTATTCACTTTTCACTTTTTGCCTTTTACTTTTTACTTTTTATTTTTTTCTTTTCACTTTTTATATTTTCTTATTCATGGAAGTTAATGCTAAAAGAGGATACAATATATCTACAATTTACCAAAACAAGAGGAATTTTACAAGTCATAACAATTAAAGAAACAATACTTGAAATTTAGCTTCAAATATTATAATTTATATTTAGGGAATATGAGCTCTATAAACAACTCCACCATTCAAATCTGGATAACATTGAATATAAAAAATTCATATTTGAGGAATATGAGCCTTACTAGCAACTTCGCTATCCAAATTTGAATAAAGTTAAATATAAATTAAATATTACTTTTTACATTTAGAGAATATGAGCCCTATTGACAACCTCACCATTCAAGTTGAATAAAGTTGGATATGAAATAACAAGAAAATTAAAATTTATTTACAAAAAAAATTTTTTTTTAATCAACATCTAGAACTAGAATATTGTCTATTGAATTATATAAATTCTCTACATCAGCTCTCAAATTATTCCTCTCAGCTACCAACAACACATAATCCCTATTTCTTTGCTGATTCCCTTGATTAATCTCTTTAATTTGCAAGTTTCTATCCTCCACTTCTCCCACTAACCGAACTACTTCTCTCACCATAAAAACCTCATTCTTTCTTAATACCACTACTTGTCTTCTTAACAAACTACCTTCATACTGCAACCTAAATAGTTAATAGCATTATTATTAATATTTATTGTTATTATCTTATTAATATATTATTATATTATTATTATTACCTTTGAATTTTATTCTGAAGCTCACCAATAGCTTTATACAAAGCATTCTCACTGTCTCTTCTTCAGTTACTTTTTCATTGATAGTGGGTAGAACAATAAGAGTGTGGTATTGTTATTCTATTATTATTGTTATTTTATTAGTATATTTTATATTTTTTTTTATATTAAATA